TTAACTCCCCAAAATTTCTACATTATATTTTTATCAATTTATGATATGCTGTTCATTCAGAATCCAAGCCAAAATGTGAAGCTAGCCCAGGTTTATCATTTTTTTCTCATTCTCATCACAACCAGGTTTTGTTAAATTGTTTTCCTAAAGCCATATCAAACTTTCCCTTTTCTTTCTATTTCTACTGCCACTACCTTGTCAAGCATGGGCATTTCTTTTGAGTCACATCAGCCACTTTGCAGATCTTCTTACTTCCTGACTTCCTCCCACTGCAATCTATCCCTGCAACTAGTACTGATTTAACACATCACTCACAAATGTAACTATCAAATACCCTAAATGTCTTTCCCGCCAAAACATCACATGCATTAGATGTTGCTTCCTCCTATGGGATAACTTTTCACTGACTTCTTTACCTGTAGAGTTTTTATTCATTATTTAAGATCCAACTAAATCAATTTGCTTATTTATTTCATTGTGAAAGAAAGCTGAGTTGGGCTCCAGTGCCATCATTAACCCACAATGCAACGTGACCATTCTTATTTGTGTCTTTCATGATCTTCTATATGAGTTTGCCTGGGATATGCCCCTAGTAGCCAAATTTCAGGATCAGGGTCAGTCAGCCAAAAAGTCTAGAGAGGCAAGGACTGGTGAGAATGATGACACAGATATGGGTAAGTTTACATTTTGACTTGTTTTCCTACAAATTATGGACTTAAGATCAAGGATCTCTGGTATTGTGAATGATCACAGCTCCCTGGAGTCTTTTTAATTCAAGTGGATGCCTCCGAAGTTTGGAGGTCTCAGCTAGCCTCTAAAACTGAAGCCCTTCAGTTTTTCAGTTGAGAGGCCAATTTTCTCTGTCTTTGGTGTGGAAGTGAAGGTGGGTGTGAGCAACATCAATCAGAACGGCTATGACGTAGCAAAATTGAGTGATCTGGTCACTCTTCTGTTTGTTTTGTCCTTTTTCTTTTTTTTTTTTTTGGTACGGGGGATGGAACTCGGGTCCTTGCACTTGCAAGGCAGGGAGAAGAACCACTGAACTAAATCCCCAGCTGTTTTTTCCTTTTGATATCATCGCCCATATTTGTTTTTACAGGTCAGGTATTGTTTATCCTAAAGGGCTAAGTACACTTAACTTTTTGAACTTTTGTCTCATTTCTCTACAAAGGGTTTTGTGCCATCATCTACAGTTCAGGAAATTAATTTACCCTATTACACTGAACTGATGATGTTGAGAATCTTTTCATATACGAATAATCCTTTCACGCACTCCTTTCTTTGAATTGTATCGTCATAACCTTTGCCTATTTTTATGTTATGTTCATTTTCATTTTTGGTTGATCCATAAAAATCCCTTGTATTTTCTAGATTAATCCCTTGTTGGTTTTTGAAGTTGCAAATATGTTCTTCTAATGTGCCACCCATATGTTAATGTAATTTATAGAGTGGTTCATTGAACAGAGGTCTTTAATTTTGACTTTGTCAAAGCCAATTTTTGCCTTATGGTTTGTGCTTTGGAGTTCTTATTTAAGAAATACTTTCTTGCCTAATGAAAAAAAATTATGTTTTTCCCTTGTGCTACATAGTTTTTCTGTTTATAGTTGGTATAAATCTGAACTCAAAGCTTATTTTTTATGCATATGGTGACCCAGTTTTCTAAATATCGTCTACCGAATGATCAGTCCATATACTTCCCATATACTCCTGCTTGTGACATTATTTCTTTAAAATACCAAATCTCCCTCACTCTGTTTTGTTTGATTGCCCACATGTCTATACCAGCACCACACTGTTTTTAGTTACCATTAAGTAAACCTTCATAGCTAGGGGGCAAGGCCCTTTTCTTTGCTCCCAAAATTGCCTTAAACATTATTCTCATATCAAATTTTACAGAGACTGTTGAAATACTCAAACATTCTGTATGAAATTTACTATGGAGCTGGCTTTTAATTAGTATTGTAGTAGATTAACAAAATAATTTATGGGCAAATAACACCTTTAAAATTTTCAGCTTGCACATCGATATTTGCAGTCTATGTCTTTATTCTAATATTAATGGTTTTATTCTTTTATTGAGTTTATTGGTATATTTTAGGTATACAGTACAGTTACATTCATTATTGGGACATTGCACCTTTACATGACAGGTGGTCTTGGTTCTCATTTTTTCCCCTTACCCCTGTCCTCCCTTCACCCACTCCTCCTCTCCCCATTTACAAACACTTTATTTCCATTTTTCATTTTCTCATATTTTTCCCTTATTACCCTTCCCCTACCCCTCCCACTTTCCCTACACCTTTAGCCATTTTCTTCCCATTTCACAATGTCATTTATCTCATTATCTAATATTAATGTTTATTCTCTAGCAAAATTAACATTTTTCCCCTCTATTAAAACTCTTGTGTTGCTGACTTTAACTTTTAAAGGTATTAGAATGGAAAATAATTGACTCAGAGCAGTACAGGAGAAGAAAAGGCACACGAGAATTCCCTTCCCCTCCTGAACATCTCTCGTGCTATGTTTTTTCTTCAGTTGTCCGGGAATGCCTCAGGTTTATGTAAGGTGGTGGGTCTGTCTTTATTTGCATCATGTGGATTAGCTCCAGGGCAGGGCCTTGGAAAGGGGTTCTTTCAGCCAGATTTCTGTTGCTACTAAAATTACCCAAGAAAATCACCTTATAAACAAAATAGGTTTATTTTTGCTCCTGGTTTTAGAGGTTCCCATCCACAATCAGGAGGACTTAGTGCTTTTAGGCCTCTGGTGGGGGAATGACAGATGGCAGGGACAGGTAGCATGTAACAGAGCAAAACTGCTCACCGCCCAACCAAGCAGGAAGAGGAAGAAAAGCAGGACTGGGGTCCCAATGTCCCTTCAAAGGGGTGATCTAAGGACTCCACACTAGGTCTCGCCACTTAAAGCCTTTACTTCTTCCCACTAGCATCTCCTTAGACACCATGTATCCAACATCAGGAACTTTGGAGGATATTTAAGATCCAAATTATTACAGAACTCAAAGGCCATGTCAACTTTCCATCTTGTGTAGCACTCACTTTTTACAGGGACTAAATAAACTAACTATATAAAAGCATCTGGAGAATCGTGTGTCATGAGTAAGTGTATCTGTACTAGTATCACATGATTATTATCACTAATAACCTTTCATTTTCATAATAAATATTATAATTAACATATACTAAGTCTTTTCTAGATTTGAGACTTCATGTTGAGTAAAGAGTTACAAAACATATCTCACTTAGACACTGCTGAACAGGTGACACAAACTAGTAGATATTTTTCATGTATACAGCTGGGGAGCCCTTAACTACCTGGGGCAGAAATGGTGACCATGAAGACTCAGAAAGAGAATGGTTTTTATAAAAAAGCTTTGCAAGTCTACCAACAGCTCTTACTCAATTTTCAGAGACACAACTGATGGCCAGAAACATTAAACTTGTGGAAATATAGGGCCAGAACTGTGGCCACAGCCTACTGGATCCTCAAAGAGATGCTGATGCTAGGGCTGAGGATAGCACTTGGAGATGTGGCTGGAAAGGGCACTGTGTTGAAAACAAGGTATTCGTACATTTGAACTGTTTTTATTGTTCTGGGATTAAGAACTGGGCCAGCCACTTAGCCCTGTGACATAGGCCAACTGTCTAACTTTTTTTAATCCTCCATTTCCTATCTACCAAGTGGGTATAATAGTGTCACACTACCTGACTTAGAAAGAGGCTTTCAGACGTAAGAGAATGAATGGATGGATATTCACTTGTTTGCAAATCAGTACAAATGCATCACATTCATCGTTGAACACCTGCATTAGAAGGATTTAATTGTGGAAAAGAGACCATGGTGTGCTATAGCCCAAGGCATCTTAGGAAATCTTTAAATCTTGATTGTGTCAGGCTGCATAATTGGATTTGGTATTTTATTTTTCAATTACTGATGAATTTCTGACCAGCGGGCCCAAGTTCATTTTTTAGCTTCTTCAGGCTGAAAACAAGCCTTATAACTACTAAAACCACTAGATCTTTCTCCTCATCTCCACCAAAGGTAGTTTTGTTTATCCTGCTTTTGAGATGGGTTAATCACATCAGTTACTCACAGTCTAATTTCCTTCTTTTGCAGCCAACTATTTTAGGCCAGTGGCCAAACCTGTGGTTAAAGCATGGCACAGGTGGAATTTAGCTATGATGCTGTTATTCCATTACAGTGAGGTAGGGAGTAGCTCTACCCTGATGATTAAATGCATTATAGTTCCACCAAAAAAAGAAAAAAAAATTAGTTCAATTCAATAAAAAGGACACCTCAGGCTTTCATTATCATAGAGCTTTACCTGTGGAAAGCTTTTCCATATGCAACAATCCTTTCCTTTTCCCTTTCCCTGCTCCCCACAAAACTGGAATGAACCTACAACTTTTGCAGCAGATCAGTGATGTTGCATAAACTATTTCCTGTACAATTTGAGAATCACAGGACACTCTGCAAATATCCTCCTGAGTCTGTTGAAAGAGTAGGAGTAGCAGTATTTCTTTTCCACTCTAAACGTTAACGCAAAGTTACTGAATTATTTTTCACCCTTCCAGTTGTTTTAAGAAAACAAGTATTGGCCACCTTGGCTGTTAAATGGAAGTAGAACTGAAAACACAAGAGTTAACTATGAAGACAGGGTACACTCTATTAGGAGAACAAAGGCCTCCATTTGGTTTTCAGTTCTAGGAAATGGGACCCCATAAAATTGTTGCCACTCCACTCTCCAAATTTCTTCCGCAAAGGTAGTCATGGAAATAGGAGTCCACCACACCACACACAATACTTTGACTAATTTTTAAACAATATTATCCAAAGCCATACAAGTGACACATAGAGAACTGGAATGCAAACAGTGGGGACTATTTCTGGTCCTTCTGATGTCAAACTTTATAGAATTGTGACATCACTGTGCTAAATGTTTACATGTGCTGTCTCAGACAGGTCCATACTATGTCCAAAACTTTTCTTCCTTTAACTGTGTGAAGCCAAGACCAAATGGACCATATTGCTCTATGCAAAAAATCAAGAAAAAATTGATACTTCTGTATGGAGTAAGGTAGAATGTTCAAGATGAAGAAGGCTTTGGAAAAATATGGTATGTATGGCCATACTAAAACACAGGACGTTTTCCTGGTAGGCTCAAATATATTCAGTAAGTACTTTCTAAGTATCTACTGTGTTCCTCAGTCTGTATTAAGAGATAAGAAAAGCAGATCCAGTCCTGGTAGCTTTCTACTTTCTGCTTTAGGAATTCCAGCACCCATCTTACCGAGACCTGGCAAAGGGTCCAGGAAACAAGGCCCTTGTTTTACAATTCAAGTTTGACTTGAAATATTATTTTTTATCTTTTAAGTCTAAATATTATAGTTCATCAAAGGAATAATTCCAGAATTTTCAATGCCAGGGGTGTACTAGTATTATATTCAAGAGCTATTTAAGAATCAAACATATCTTTCTATTAAAAAACAAACAAACTCTGAGGAATTATTCCCCATAGGGCTAAAAGCCATCAAACAATACCCAAAGCCTGCAGCACAAAGCTGGTGGGTATCTAGGTCATGGACAGAGACAAAATCACCCCACAATCATAGGCTTGTGAAGAGCAAAGGGAATTTCAGTGGGGCTGCCAATCCCACAAGCCTGTGACCCACACTGCTGGCAGTGCTGTCAGGCAGAACTTGGATAAGAGTCAGAAATAGAAGCCAGAAAGAACTGGGAAGGTTCCATAGTCCTCAAGACACTGGTTTCCCTAGTTAAGTAAAGAACAATAAAGAGTTCCCATAGCTTTATTGAAAACAGGGAAGAGGGCTGAGGATTTAGCTCAGTGGTTCTGCCTCCTGCTTCATAAATGCGAGGTCCTGAGTTCCATTGCCAGTACCATTAAAAAATAAATAAATAAAAAAGGAGGGAAGAACAGGGTGCACAGGTTTTCCTTATCTTTTGCAGGAAGGAAAGTAATTTATAGGACAGGTGGCAAGAGTAAGCACACATCCAATTTCACACAAGCTTCTTGATTCTCTGTGCTTTCTATAGGAAATTTTTGGACTGTTTGGATTCAGATTTCTCTCAGGCTTTACCAGGTTCTTTTCTTACCAAAGCAATTTGATCCGAAGGGTGAGGCACCAGTTAGTAACAAAGGGCATTAAGAAAAAAATACCTAATCTCTGTATTTCACAACTGACCTCTCCTTCAACTAGCAATGTGACATTCTTTTCAACACCCAACCCACCTCTGAGATTAAAACAAACAAAAACTAGTCATGGTTCAAAGACTTACAAGAGCGGTTGCCTAAGTTGAACAGCACACTTATTTGGAAATGCCACCTCATTTATTTGGAAATTCTGTTTCTCATATATTGATACTTTTATAGTCTAGCCTTTTGTTATTGAATTCTAACATTATTGCATTAGGTCAGGGACCAAGACATTGAGGGCTGCATCATTACTTCTTTGGGATTTTTGGTACTATTTATGAGTTAACATGTAATGGATTTATGTTCGTGTTTTATAAGTGCTTGAATTCAAAGAGATTCTTAGGTTGTAAAGATGTAGATTTGATTGATGATTTTTTAGAAATCTGCTATGTTAATCATATTATTGATATCATTTATAACTCTATGTATATAATTCTATACAGTCAAACCCTCAATATCCATGGTAAATTCACGCCAGGGACCTTCATGGATACCAAAACTCAAGACACCCAAATTCCTTTGTGTTAGTCATTCATTGATATAACAAAATATCTGAGGTAATCAACTTAAAAGGAAAAAGGTTTGGTTAAGTGTACAGGTGCAAAACCCATAGGTATAGGGGAGCCAACTCTACACAGACACACACAATCATAATCTCCTTCCATTCCCAAAACTTCTGACAACAAATGTGTTTTTCACCATACTAATAGCTTACTTTCATTAATTGAGTGTCCTTTAATTCAGTTCTGATACTAAACCTGAAGATGGCCCCTGATCCCACAGGTTAAAGGGCTCCATCTCACAAGAATGTCCCATTACAAGTGTCAGTGAGGAGACGAGGCCGCTTTATCCACAGGCTATAAAATAGAGAATCCCCATGGCCCTTTCCTCAGGTTTGACAGCTTGCTATAACAGCTCACAGAACTCAGGAAGAATTTGTTTACAGCAATTATTTTGTATAAATGATGTGACTCAGGAACAACAAAATGGAGGGAATACATAGGACGAGGTACGGAAGGGGAGATAGGAAGCTCCTGCGATTTCCATAGCGGGCCATCGAAATATGTTTACCAGCCCAGAAGCTCTTTGAATACCTTTGTTTAGGGTTAATTTGGTGGTTGCCTTGATTGGATAGGGTTTTTTTGGTGGATAGCCATGATTAATTGAAGAATTGCCCATGGGTAATTAATTCAATTCCCAACCTTTCTCCCCTCTCCAGAGGTAAGTGGGTGGGGACAGTGAAAGTTCCGAGACTCTAATCAAGAGGTTGGTTCTGTTGGCAGTCTACTCCTATCCTTCCACAATCACCTCATTAGCATGAACTGCTATGGTTGAAAGGACTTTCATACGGCTAAAAGAGAGAATCTTACCTTGCCCTTATCACTCTAGAAATGCTAAGGGTTTTAGGAGCTCCTTGCCAAGAATCGGGGCCTAAGATCACATACGTACTTGTTACTACATCACAATATCACTAGATATATGTATGTGTGCACGTGTATGTGTGTGCATATATCGCATTTGTGCTCACAAAGGGATGTTGAATTGACCAAGCCAGTTCGTCTATATTTAACTCCTTCATTCTTCAGCTCCTAACTTTGCTTCTATAGAAATGGACCTTCAGATAATTTTATCAGGAAGGGTATGTTTGTTATTCATATATATAATAATCTTCCGAGTATCAGAAAATATATTTGCCTTGCCTTCTTAAGCAGAAAATTCTTGAGACTATAACTCTTCATTGAAGGAAGAAAAACATTATTTTCTTGTCTGCTGGCATTTAGGGTTATAAATGAGAAACCAAACTAAATTGATGTTTGTTTCTCAGTAGAAAACCTGTTTTTCTTATTTGGATCATAAATGATTTTTATCTTTATCCTAGTTGTTTGTCTTAATCCAAATGTCTAGGTGTATGTCTCATTTCTTTGACTTTGTACAGAAAGTGTTCTTTTACTATAGTTTTGATTTAGCAGCCTTTCCCACTTTTAGTAGACTTTGCTTTTCTTTTTTCCTTTAGAAAAATGTAAGTATCTGCAAGTTGGTCATCTATGTTTGTCTTTAGTTTTATCATCTTTTTTCTCATTTTTGTTGTCCTTTTTTGTGTGTATTTTTCTCTACATCCTGGAAACATTTAACAAATTTGTTCTTGACCCATTTCTTACAAATCATTTCCACTCTCCTTCAATATAAACTTTAATGCCATCATTGTCTTTTTTTATTTTTATTTTATTTTTATTTTTGGTACCAGGGATCGAACTCGGGTCCTTGCGGCTTACAAGGCAGGCCACCGAACCGCTGAGCTAAATGCCCTTCCCATCAGTCTTTTAAGATTCCTTGACATTGACATTCTCTGCTATTTTGGTTAAAGCCATCTCAATCCCATACTCCAGCCCCTTAACCTCATTCTATTTTCCCTTTATGGTTGTGTTTTGCCTGGCTTATGCCTTTTTTCTCTCTCTAGTGACTGTGTCAAACAACTTCCACCACTCTTTGTAATTGTGAATGAAGATCCACAGAAATTCCATCCTTCTCTTATTTTTTCAATTATATTCAAGCGTCATATGTAGAAGTTGTTTTCTCCCATCGTCACCATTTCTTCTACTTCATTTTCTTAAAGAAATGTGAAGTGTAGTAATTCTCCATTTATCTTCAAATAGAGTGGAGGACAGCCCTTCTCCTCCTTTCTTCCACTTGCTGATTTCCCTTATCGAATCTAAAACGTGACGGCATCTTAACTGGCACATCTTCCACACCCAAAACTCATGTCTGGCAAGCTTTCAACTAGTGAATAATATCCTGCTACTTTCCTGCCTTCATTTCCTGGTGCTATAAATCCAAGCAGTGTATGAAAATTGACTATCCCCAATTTGCTCTTCTCCGTGAGTTTTCTGTCCTCAGCCTCAAGCTTCAGTGACTTCTTTTTTGAACGGAACTTTGCAGAATGAGCTCTGCTGAAGTCCTGTCCTCTAGTTGTCCTTGCTGTGCTCTGAGCCTTACAGTTGTTGTATCAGAGTTTAAAAGGTGAGAGGTGAAAGGCTGGGGGGATATATGCACTGCTAATCCTGTGGGTACAGGTTCTAGTTAGATCTGAAAGGGACTACAGGGAAGAAAGGAAGGACAGGGACAAGGGGAAAAATGAGAACCAAGACCTGTCATGTAAAGGTACAGGATCCCAATGATGATACCTAAAATGTACCAATAAACGCAATTTTAAAAAAAGAAATGAAACATCTTCTGTTTTATGAATGGTGCTGTTTCATGACATTGAAGCAGGCCATGGCACAAACTCATAATTTTTTTTTTCTAAACGAATTCCATTTGTTATGTTTAGTATCAAGGCATTCCAAACCTTGACTCTGAATTGTCTATATATCTATTCCTAATGATGTAATTGTTTTTCCTCATGGTTTTCTTATGAACTAATCTTAGTAAAAAGCTGGGAAAACAACCACTGGGTCATTTGCCAAGCATTTTTCTGAATAAAAATTCCGTAATGTTCCACATTTAGTAATATTTTTTTTGTAAAGGTGGTCAAAATCAACAAATCACCAGACATATGAGGAGTTATCAAATACAGTCCAATTGCCCGTTAAATGGAGACTAAATAATGTGAGGAATATATAGCTCAGCCATAAAGAATGAGGAACTAGAGACATTTATAGCTAAATGGAAGGACATTGAGTCCATACTCTTCAGTGAAATAAATAGGACACGCATGTGTAAATATTGAATAATTTCTCTTGTGTGAGAAGCTGAAAGTATTAAATAAAGATAAAAATATATAGTAGATAATGTGAAATAGGAAGAAAAAGTCCAAAGGGGAAGGGAAAGTTGGAGGGGTAGGAGAAAGGAAAGAAGGGGAAGGAATAAATATGAGAAAAGGAAAAAAATTACTGCACATGACA